CCACTACTTAGTAAGAAAAGTGTGGAAATAATGTGGAAGGCTGTGAAATCATAATATCAATGTAAAGTAAAGCTGTGATTAGGAAGTCCTGTATAAACTATGAAACTGAAACTATCATGAAGTGGCAGTGTATGCCCTATGCTTGCCAAGCTTCAACCCCATCATGCCCTGGGAGCTCCCGAACTCGGGTTTTGAAGAGTATGCAAATACTGACTGCTGAAAATCAGCGGTCAGTCAGCCCATAATACAATGTGTCTCAGCAGAATGGTCCAACAAGCCTTGTGGAATATGGGCTGAATTGCTGTATCCATTCTGAGTACCCCACAAATGTTGTAGATTCCAGGGAGCGCTGGAGCTGAAATTTACAAGCAGAGGTTAAGTATTGCCATCTTATGGTGTCAGCTATGGCATATCTATGCAGATTTACACAGGATTTCTCAGTGACCAGTTCTCTTTACACTGTTCTGCAAGGCAACTTGCAAAACACGCATATATATATATATATATTTCATTTAAATTCCAACCATTCGGAAATGCAGAAGAGAATAGCTAACAAAGGAGCTTTGTGGAGAGATCAAGCACAGCCTTTGTCTGGATAACCAATTCAGTGGAGAGTTTACAGTCAGTGGATCCGGTCCAGTGTAATCAAACACATGAGAGAATGGAAAGATTGATACCTGGTTCTACTTTTTCCACTAGAAGGCTCAGCAGGACCTTATATGAGGCACATGTCAAGCTGAACCTACGAGAGCCGTTAGGGATGGATTTACTTAACCTGGACCCTATGAACATGGCAAGCAGATTTTTCCTGTTTATTCCTAGATGAGGACACAATGTGCTGGCACGACCAAAGGAATAATACACCTAGATAATCTGGCCTCAGCACCTTCAGCTCTGGACAGTTTCACTCTAACTTCATTTACTCACATTTTTAATGGGACAGAAATCAATGAATATAACAGATCTGGCGCCTAATAAAAGGCATCGACAGGACCAGGGGCGGACTGACAACTCATGGGGCCCCTGGGGAATAGGGGATCATGGGGCCCCTGTGTCCTTGCCCAAACTCAAAAAAGCCTATGAAAAAGGTACCAGGTGCATCTCATGGGGCCCCCTACTGACCCCGGGCCCTTGGGCAGTGCCCGAGTTTCCAAATGGTCAGTCCGCCCCTGGCCAGGACCCTTCACTGGAAACAGACACAAGAAAGTATTACCCAGGATTGTTTCCATCGTGACCACTCTCTAACGCCCAGCACTGCTATAGGGAGTCAGGTTAGTTTTACTCCTTACTATCACTTCCCAGAAAATATTCCATGGCTATCTGTATAGTGGATTTAGCACTGCTAACCTTAAAGTGTTACTACACCCACAACAGTAAAAATCAGTCAGTATATGCAGTAAAGCAAGGTTGTTATACTCACTGTGGAACCTAAGGGGTTAATCTTCTGCATTATGTAAAAAGGATGTTTGATCCTGACTCCTCTGATCCTCCCCTTCTTCCATTGTCCTTTTTATCTCCTGATAAGACATTGTGTGGAATCACTCTGCACATGCTCAGTTTGGTGTGTATTGCTTGAGGTTTTTATTTTCTTGAGTGCATGCATGTAATCTGCACAGGGCCAATCAGCACTGTCCAGACAGAGGTCAGGGGTCCTGCATCTTCCTAGAACAGAATGGAAACTCCTTCTAGAAGCTTTAACCAGTGCTTAGCTGGACACTGATAGAAGTCACAAGACTGCTCTAACTGCTGATGAGAAATGGTATTTAGCAGTTTATAGTTATGAAAATAATTGCATTTCCATGTACCGTGGGAGACAGGATATAGTGAATGCAGGGTCCTGTAATAGTGATACTTTAACCCAAAACTCAGTTTACTCAGTTAACATTGCTGCCTGGACTAAGGCTTTTCTCTGGTTAGTGGAGGTTTTGTGGCTTTTTACATGACAGTAGTGATTTAAAACATGATCAAGGTATTGTTAGGAGTGACCCACACATTACAAACATACTGTAAAATCCCTGTAAATATTCTCTATATTTACCAGCAACTATGTAGTGCAAGAGTCTACCTAAATAATCTGTGAAATTTACAGGCAGTCAAACTCTCTTGCTTTGTTGCTGTTGGTAAATCCAATGGAGATTGTATAGATTAGAGCGCTGGACAGCTATAGTGAAAATCTGATCAAAAATAACACATTTCAGCATTGCATTTCTACTCTTTTTACTGTTAATATACAAGGGAAATAAAACAAACTTGTGAGGGATTTGCACACTGCGTGCCATGATTGAGACACTAATGACTTAAGCTTGCCATTCCCAGATCAAATTTTGTCTGCTTCCCATTGAATCGGCCAAAACACGAGTGGTGGATGGCCCTATTGGCTATCATATGCAGTCACTGTTCAGGTATTTAGGTAGTAGTGGGTGCTGTGGCTGCTTGAATACAAAAGTCGGCAGTGGAAATTCCTCCATCTATGGTGGGTGAAAGAATCTTTAAGTGTGAATGGAGAAATCTTCTCTTCCAGCTACTGCAGCCATAGACGTAGGAGAGGAAACTGTGCAAGAATGGCTATTTTACTCCATTGTGTGTAGAGACCACTGGGCACTTATAACACACAATCTTACCATCTGCCCACAGGGATCCTTTCCCTAAGGGCTGGTTCACACTATGAATTACACAGGAAAATGCTGTGCATTCCATATTCAATCCGGGTGTAATGCGATTTCAGTCCATTTATTTGAATAGGCTAAAATAACACAGGACCGCAGCAAAAGTAATGCATGCACTACTTTACAAAACACAGAGCAACCGCACTACATGGTACAGAAATACCATGCGATCCAGTGCAGCTAAATGCACTGTTTGCGACCTGAGCTTGGAGTGTCATTAGCATTGCAATGACATCTGCTGCAGATTGCAAGACAGACCGTGTTTTGGTGTGAACTGGTCCTGAAGGGATGTTATGGCCTTTTCATTGTAGAAAGCGGTTTGCTGTAAAAAAAAAAAAAAAAAAATTATCATCAGTGTGTGCTAAAGGAGAAGTATAGCCAAAGCATTTTTGGCTATACTTCTCTTATGGACCTGTTTTCAGTCGACAGCGGTCTGTAGCCCATCACAGAGCATCCAGAAGCCTGGACCGACACCTGGCTCAGCCTTTCAGTGATCTTCTGAGAGCCTGAGCCAGCCCCTCCCGCCCCCTCCACAGCCCAGTGCTCCAGTGAGCTCTGGAGGGGCAGAGCACAGAGCCGGAGACTGGCAGTCATGGCTCCCTGCTCAGAATGGAGGGGAGAACTGAGTGATCAGAGTGTTTGATCGCTCAGTTCTCACTACAGAGCCGTTGGGGGACTGATGCTGCATTCACCTGGCTAAGTATAATAATTTGTTTTTTAAGCCGTACTTCTCTTTATAGAAGATAAAAGCCTTGTTTATATTTTAGTGTATACAGGTGTCTTACTGTTCCTCTGCCTCAATGAAAGTCTACCAGAAAGTCCTGTCTGACTGAAGATAATGCACTCTGTATATGACTGAGAGGTTTTATGTTATCATTTGTCAATCAGGGATCCTGACTGATTCCGCCTGATACATAAAAAGTTACAAGAGGGAGAATCTACCAATCTGCATACTTAATACAATAATGACAATATGGTACAGCAAGTGAAAATGGGAACATCAAATGCTTTACTTTAGGTAACAATTTTGATAACGTAAAATACGTAAGTACTGCAAATACACTATAGTTCCCTTTAAGTGTTGCATAATCTTTCCAAACACACATTTGTCACACTTCAGTCCATCCAAAACCTAGATCTCTGCACCAATGTTCACGCTCACCTTCTCCCACCAAACCAAAAGGTAAGTTGGTGGTTCTGCTCATTAGCATTTAAGCACAATTGAGATATATGCTTTGAGTAGGCTGCCCCTCGAAATCTGAGCAGTAAAGCCCTAGCTACAGAGAAACCAGTGTGCTACTACATAAGTATAGGTCTGACACTGCATTGAATGAGATCATTTACATCATGTACATCATCCTGACTGGGGATTTAAGCTATGCCATCGGCTTTTCTAAGTATTTATGAATGAGACTGATAAAGTACAATTAAATCAAGGAACAAAAATATAGCAAACACATTACATTGTGATGACCATTTGTCTTTATAATTTAAACCGTCAATATAGTCAAATGTAATATCTGCAGAGACTTGGATGGACTTTGGTTTCATTTGGACAACTGGTCTCCTTGGACTGAATTGTTTGGTCCAACAAGGATACATTTCTCTAAGTGCAAAAGAATCCATATACCAGTCATTTCATGAAGTCGAGCGCAGTAACAGAAACATACCACCTTCTCAAAGCAGCAAAATCACAAATGACAGCTCCACCAGGGAAAGTAAATTAAAGAGAACCAAGAAGCACTTTCATTCACAATAGAAGGACAAGAGAAGAAGAGAACGTCATGGCAACTAATTATATTTAAAAATGTAAGGACTGAGAGTCCACTCAAATTCCATGAGTCTGTGCCTGGCAAAAATGGCAGAACTGTCTGTGAAATTGTCCGGGGGGCATGAGCAGAATTTGGCCCCTGTGGTCCCCAAGGTGAGGAAGGATACAGTGCAGGCTGCAGTCTCCAGCACAATAATATAACAGGAATAAAAGACCTTTAAGGTCAGCGGAGTTACGGAAAGTTTGTGAAAGTTCTCACACGCCGAGGAGTGTGGAGGAAAAAAGAGTGCTCTCCAAAGCTCTGCTCCACCTATGCTTCTGGCTCCTACATAAAATAATGCCTGAACACCAATATACAAAATACAGCTTGTTACACGGGGAGCACAGTGCTGGTTCATCGTTTCCACTTCTGTACAAAAGATTTCAAGAAATGCACAAGAGCAGGTTAAGGGACGCTCTGGGTGGCAACATCCAACTACTCTGCTCTCGTCACAATGTCTCTTGCCTAATTTACAGAGGAGCAGAGCCGCCCCGTCTTCTTCAGAAATGGCAGAAGTGCATGCTCACACATCTGTAGAGTAGTACAGGGTGTTCCTCTTCAACTCAGAGAAGCTGATTGGTGGGTGCTGCAGATAATAGAGCAGAACCTGGACCTGGGATGGGAAAGAAGACAGTCATATTATATGCGGTATTGAAAGTCACTAATATGTATTAAAATGTGATTGAATGACAAAATGTACACAAATCAGTTACACAGGTAGCTTGCTTTATGCAGACTGAAGACTGATGTAGAGTGAAAGTTTATTTTTTTTAGTTCATGCTGACATGGCCAGTGGGGAGCGGCAGAATGAACCAGGAGTAATGTGCTAGTTACAATTATACTGGGAAAGTAGGTATAATTATGGGCTGCATTCAAATTAAAGTAGAACTAAGAACAACTTTTGGTTAGAACTGCTGTTTGATTTTTTTTTTTTTTTTACATTTGTGACCAGTTTGGGAGATTTCCCTTCACTTCCCATCTCATAGCCAAAACAGTAAATTCCTCCACCATGAGGGAATCCTGGAGTGACACAAGGGTCACCTGAACTAGTGTCCCCATTGGGAGATTTCCTCTCTATTACTGTTCTGGTATCAACCCAAAATGTAGGATTTTCTGTTACTTTCATTTTAATGATAAGAACTTATAAAGGGGGGGGGAATCTCTTAACGGGGGCACAATTGGCAATAACAACTGACAGGACTTCTAATCCCTTTCTACTCTATCAAAAACTAAAAAAAAGGTTTTGACTTTAGTTCTACTTTAAGAGAATGTATTATATATTAACTAAAGTGACCCATGTTATTCCTCCTGCTATCCCACATTACCATAGCATGCTTAGAAGCAGTTGTAAATTATTTATTGCTCGCTTAACAGCTTTCCAGCAATCCCTAGATAGCAGCAGCTTTGAAAAAGCAGACTTAAAATTTACATTTTTTCTTCTAGTATCTGCTTGGATACAGTGACAACATCCCTACTTTCCTGATTTACTGAAACTTTTTTTTTTCTTCTAGTTTATGTCAGCCAATAAGCTGAATTTTTGAAAGAATTTCACAGTTGCTATCCAGGGTCTATGTGCAGGTACTGTTAGATAGGATAGAAGGAGGAATGAATAGAATGGATTAGTTAAAAGGGCGGCCATACATCGCCAGATTGGATGATCTCATGTGACAATTAGAGAGCATACAGTTTAAAAATAAGCACTACTGAAAAATACTAGCACTTCTATTTCAAGATGCACCCATTTGTTCCTTCTTCTATAAAGCTGTGCACCACTAAGCACTGCTTCCATATATCAGCCATGTCAGGGAAAAGCATTAGAGCACTGTAACCCTGATTATGTTAGGGTGGCAGATCTGATGTTATTTTTAAAGCATACATGTCATTAGAGAACCATGAAGGTTGCTATTGCTAACACCCTGAAAAGCTTTATATAAAGGGTCCATTCACACCAGATGCAGTAGGCTTGCACTGAGCAGATATTCCAGTGTAGTCCCACCATGACAAGGCAAAATGCCTTGTCTCCTGTGTGCCTAATTCACACCGCTGCATTGTGGTGGTGTGAAGGCGTGATGTGCTTAAAAAGAGTAGTGCATGCACTACTTTTTTTCAGCACCCCGCAGTGCGAGGCAACACATGTACCAATTGAACTTAATGAAATGTCTGTGACATTTCAATAAAGTTCATTTGAAAAAAATAAATAAAAAATGAACAGTGCGGTACAGAGTGGTAATTCCCACTGGACCGTACCGCACGCTAGCCGCTGTGTTGTAAAGCTGTGGCTGGAGTGAATTGACTCTAAACCTGTCACTAAAGAAACATGCAAGATGCCAGCTTCCTCATAAGTCACTGGCCTGCATCAAGTATGCAGATAAACAGTTCAGACTATTCTCTGAGATGTATATTTGTCAGTTGTCAGTCACTCAAACAGTATTAAAGCCAGCCGGTTGGCATCAGCACCAGACTAGCATTTTTAGATAAAGAGGTCAGTAAGGGCGTCCATATTCTTTCATCACAAATTTACAGTTAGCCTTTAAGTCCATCTATGTTGTGTTTTACCGAAAAAAAAAAAAAAAAGTAAATGAAACCAAGGTTTGTACCAACAAGCCCTTATAGTTACCTGTGCCATTACATCATGTGACCAGATATCTGATGCCAGATTTGTGTGCCCTTTACTCTCCACCTCAGATGGCCTCAGTAATGTTGGCCCAAAGACAGTGGCTAAATTATGGAGTGACATCTTGTTGATTGGTTCTTTCTCAGCAACCCTGGAAAAGACAAAATCTTACTATTCAGCAAAAGCAGAAATAGTCTTATTAGTCATCAGCGCAAAAACTAAGTACAAAGACATCATTTCTCATTTTTAGAGACGTACTGCTATCGAGACTACGGCAGGATTGTCCAAAGTGTTCACTACATTTCACATTAATACTGCTAATAACACTCATACCGAGAGTAAAACATTTCACAATACTTATGTGCCTCTAAAGGTGATAAATAGACATGTGCAAGCTGGAAGTTTTCAATACGTTCATTGAAGCATTTCATTTAGTCATATTCGTTATGTTGAACCATTTTGTTTTTGGCATTTGTTTCGTATAATCGTTAGTCCAGTTGGATTTGAAAAATGTAGCAGTTTTTATGAAAGATTGCTGTATATTACTTTTTGATATTTCAGGTGGATTCGTTATTCATGTATCAAAACTATTCGATATTTTCTGGCACAAATAATGCAAAATTTGGTGGCTCTGAATTTTTCAAACCCAAGAGTTGCATTGGACTGTTGAACTGACTGACTGTGACAATTACAAATTCAATTTAAATCATAACTTTACTCGAATCTGAATTATCGAACAAATTTGAAAATTGAATACATTTCCCAGTGGGCCCAAACTACTATCACATCATATGAGGTCATCCAAAGGAAGTGAATAAAATTAATTTCATTATAACTTTTTTCTGGATTTGTTGACATTCGTTACTATGTCCATCCGGATATTCGTATATATCCCAATATCCAAAAATCAATTTATTACAAAACAAAATGCATGTGTCTAGTGCTAAATAAAATCCTCCTGAGTCAAACAAGGTAGTGTAAAGGTAACTGTTTGCAGCAACTAGTACCAATGACTAGCCCTTGACTTGTCCCTCAGGCACTGCCTGATATAAGCTTGCATTCAGTGACGTCAGGGTGACATCATAAGATCTGCAGATGTTCCTGGTCAGTGACTTAAAATAGTGAAGCCAATGGCTCAGCATCAAATCCAGGTGACTAGTACAATATAAAAACAGTCAATACACATATCATAAACCCAAGACTTATCCCAGATATGTTCTATTCATTTTGTTCCCGTAAGTCTATTGTTCTATTGTTTGTGGATAATGATCAGTTCTAGTTTAGTCAGACTGTGCAGCCAGCGTGTAGTAGAATTTCTTTAATTCTATGGGGAAGATTAACTAAAATTGAAGCACTCAGAATCTGGTGCAGCTGTGCATTGTAGCCAATCAGCTTCTACCTTAAGCTTGTTCAATTAAGCTTTGACATCAAAACCTGGAAGCTGATTGGTTTCTATGCAGACCTGCACCAGATTTTGTACCATGCAGTTTTGGTAAATAACCCCCTATGTGTACTTTTTCTGCTTTCATTGTTTCATTAATGTCCATGAACCATTCTCTAAATTGTGGATGATGTGTCTGATGCCCACAGTCTGGGGATCTATTGGTATGTATTTAGTTCCTAAAATACAAAGCTAACTCTGCAGAGATATATAACAAACAATAGGTTCATCTGAAACACAATCACCCCTTTGGGAACCTGCTGACATAATGAGGTGTTGAGTTTTATTAACAAATACAGTTTGCACACAATTCTACATTAAAGTATTGCTGGAACAGAAACAAGCAAGTAATGTGATTTGCAGGATGGTAGCTATGCTCAGTAAATCATTGTTGGATATAGGTTTTCCTTTTACTATGGAAACCACAAAAGACACAAATACAGAACTTCATGCAGTCATCAGTAGTAGTCATACCCTCCTTAGGCGGTTCTACAGTCATGGTCAGCCACAGAAGCTCTCTGGTAGGTGTAAATACCAATAAGTAACAGTCAAACCATCTTACTAACATATAACCTGGCATTGTACCGCTGACTACTGCTAAAAAATATTTATTTTTTTTTTTATGTGCTATTAATCCTTCAGTCTATAGAGCTGAATGAATGTCGATGTCTGATGGAATTGTCAGATATGAATGTCTTTTCAGCCAGACACTTGCTGCATCACAAATGTACTTTCCCACCAACATATGTTGTCCCCTTTAAAGCTCTGCCACACAAGAGCAGAGCTGCTGGTATGAGAAAAACAGCTGCTGTCTATTCCCTCCCCTCGCTTTCCTTCCAGAACTGGTCACCCTCCAGAAAAGCAGATGTGAGAGTTGGCGACTGCCGGACTCTGCGATGGAAAACTTGAATTTTCCTCTAAACGTTTGTCCCAGTTCTCATGCAACACTAACTTAGAAGAGATTAGTAACCAAACAGTCATGTGTGTTCTGTAGCTGTAACCAACCATACTCTGTATCCAGGTAATAATTCTGACATAGTACAAAGTATGGCGACACACCAACAACACACAATCTGAAAGGCTGCAAGCACCAAGTAGCATAATTAAAGAGATCCTGTACTACAATTAAAAAACTACTTTATGTAACTATCAAAAACAAGGTCTCATGCACCCTAAATTAGCAAACAGAATACAAGGGGATACATGCCCATATACATGGTTCCTATAGGAAAAGAGTGTGTATGAGAAGTAATAGAATAAAATATGCCCCTTCCTAGCCAATGACACCACAAAGCTCCTAATTCACTCCCTGGTTATCTCTCACCTTGACTACTGCAACTCCCTCCTCATTGGCTTACTATTACATAGGCTACCCTCCCTTCAGTCCATCATGAATGCAGTTGCTAGACTTATCCACTTTACCAACAGTTCACTGTCTGTTATGGCTCTCTGCTAATCCCTCCATTGGCTGCAACCCAACAAACCCAAATTCAAAATACTAATAATTTACAAAGCCATCCATAACCCTACCCCCAACTACATCACTAACCTGGTCTCAAAATACCAACCTAATTGTTCTCTTTGTTCCTCCCAAGACCTCCTGCTCTCTAGCTCCCTTGTCACCTCCAGGACTTCTCCCGAGCCTCTCCCAACCCATCCTTCCTACCCTAATCTGTCCACTTTTAGGTGATCCATCAAAACCATTCTCTAGAGAAGCCAATCCCACCTCCACCTAACAACTATATTTCCACTTTTACCCTCAGCTCATCCTCCGCAGTTATTACCTTTTGTATCATTGACCCTCCCCCTTTTATATTATACTTTCTAATGAGCAGGGCCCTCCGATTCCCCCTTTATTGAATTGTATTCCAACTGTACTGTCTGCCCTTATGTTGTCAAGTGCTGCGCAAACTGTTGGTGCTATATATAAATCATTTATAATAATAGTAAACATGTATGTGGTCCAATTTCATCTGCAGCTGAGGGGGTACATAAGGGAGGGAAATAAAATCATAATTGCTTTGATGTCAAATAAAAATAGTGCATTTATTACAGCTGGCAGGCCTTAAAACATGGTCTTAGTGGTAGTCCACAGAAAGCTACTTAAACATTCACTGCTCTATGAGTCTAAAGACAAAGAGTTGTATTATCATGTGACAGAAGATGCTGCTCCATTTATTTTAGCCATTACTATAACATACTATTACAAAAGGCACTGCAATGGTTAATATCATAGGTCACATCAAGACCCCAAATGTGTAAAATGAGAGAAACTCTCTACCAAAGTCCTCTTAGACAGCTGTCACCAGAATAGGGGCCCCATTGAAAGATTTATCATTACCTTCTGTTCTGGCTGTAAAATGTTAAATTTACAATCCCTTTTTGTCTGGTGTCAGTAAGACAAATATAAAGGCACCTACCACCTATCAGGGACACAGTCATCAAGAAAAACCTGGCAGAGGTGGCTCGATTCCTTCCCTATACCATCCAAAACTGAGAAATAAACGTAGGCTATACCTGCACTAGGAGCCCTAAATACAGTATTACCAGTTACCCAAATATCTTAATTACATTGGAACATATTTCATTTTTTTTAGCAGATCTTTAGTAAACCTATGGTAAGCTATGCACCTTAAAGAGGAACTCCGGGTAAAAAAAAAAAAAAAATTCCCATGCAGTTGGGCTGTATGGGTTAACTGATCGTTTTCATCTAGGAATTTGGATTTCAGAGCAGAGATATACTTATCTAATTCACCGATCCTCCAAGCCCAAGACCAGTCCTCACTGCTACCCCCCCCCCCCCGCATACTAGTGGTCTTGAGAATGGACTGTTCCTGATAACATCATGCCCATAGACCGGCTCTGGATGTGAGGACAACAGGAACAGTCCACTGCTGGATATGGGGGAGTGTGGTTTTCCGGAGAATCGAAGGATCAGGTAAGGATAGCCTTTTGGTGCACCCCTAGATAAAACGAGCAGTTAACCCATGCAGTGCAGGCAAAGCCCCACTGCATGGGAGAAACAACATTTCATGGAGCTATGTTATAAAACAAGGACATGGTATTTGTGATGAGTATCACTGCCATTCTCCCACAAAGCTGTCCTACACTTTTAATAAGGTGTGACATTTTATCTAGTTACCTTTTCAGATGCTGAAGCAGGAAAAGGAAGGTCATGAGGTTGGGGTCAGGCAAGGACCGAAGAAGGTGCATCATGCAGTTCTCCTTGGCAGCTGGATCAGACAGAGCTGTAACCAAGGAAACACAAGAGGATTAGGAGTCACAAGCAGCACATAATCAAAACACGGATAAGCCAACAATGGTGTTTTGTAAACAGCTGTAGAGCAGGCCACCAGACAGATCGTATAGACCCATGGACCTCTATTCATTGGCTGCGATTTCTGGAAAGGTGTAGGGACCTTTTCCCTGCGTTTTGCAAGGCATGGCAGTCCATTGAAAAGAATAGGCTGCCATGCTGCAGCCCGCAAAATTCCACTAGTGTGAACTGAGAGTAGAGGAAGATTTACTTACAGTAGTTTCGCATGGCCCTGGTGTGGTCCCGCTGCGCTTTGGGCAAAGCACAGCTAACCCGAGGGTTTCATGCAGGTTACCTGCACTTTCCTATAGACTTCTATGATGTCCCATAGTTTGGGTGTAGTTTCAGAAAGCACACTAAAGATCTGGCATGCAGGACTTTTGATGCGCTTTCTGAAACTGCACCCAAACTGCAGGACCTCCCTGACCTCATTGAAGTCTATTGGAAAGTACAGCCGACTTGCACGGAAACCGTGGGTTAGGTGCCCTTTAGTAAAAGTGCAGCGAGGAGGATCAGGGAAGGGTAGCTGGTCCCCACAGTCTCTTCTCCCTCACACTCACAGGATTCTGACATCATCAACATTAAAGGGCCCAGAGCCTTGCAATGGATGTTATGACACCAAAGATGGTTCACTGCCGAAAAATAGGGAACTGTCATCTGCCAAGGGAGCAGAGGATCAGGTAAACAAAGGTGTTTCTCCCCTCCCCTATACAAAATGAGCAATTAATCTTTGTAGTGTGGGCACAGTCCCATTGCAAGAGATAATGTAATATTTTCCTGGATATGGGCTTTAAACTTTGCAGTTTGTGGTGGACTAACCTGACTACTGATGTCTTCTGGTGGCTCTGATCATCACTGCAATGTCTGTATTGTCAACTTTAGCCTCAGAAACCACTGAAAATTCAGTGCTATGATATGGCAGCTGGTATTAATGTTAACGAAAGTTAAAACATAACAGAGACTTCCTAATTAAATGATCAGTGTAGACAAGTGTGACTTCTGATAGGCAGACTACTCATAAATGTATGTAATCTGTAAATTTTTGTTCAAATAGGCAACACTTTCTGTGAACTTCTTCCAACATCTCAAATGGAAATGTAAAGCTGGCTGTACACTGCAGGAATTTTGTCTGGTTCCTGATGAACTGGCTGAAATCTGCTCAGTCAGTGGACCTGCTAACATCTTTTTATTTATGAATCAAAGAAATTGGGCAGAAATTTTGCTGGTCGAACAGCGGCTGCATGCTAGCTTTGAATGACTATCTTCTTTTACTGTAAATGCTATTAAAAAACAAAGCTCAATGTCACTTCTTTCTCAAATAGGTAAAACAAGAGTGGTACATACCAATTCCTTCCATGAAAGCCAAGTACAGTCTGTCTGTAAGAAGTGGTTCAGGGAGCTCACGGAAATAGAGTTTTAATGTCCCAGCTATGGCATTAATGTCCATGTCACTAAGCATCACCAGGATGTCTTTGTTGTCTAGGAAGGAAATCAGAAACAATAAATGCCCATCAGGAAAAGAAGCTGACCCAAAAATTTCCTTGACAATTACAAATTTCATTCTACTTGAAACTTACTTGCATCAAAAGCAGCTTTCAAGGCCTGGATGTCAGTGGCTACTCCAGATATCCTGTATATCCCGACCTCCTCAATGCCACGTTTTTCCACCTCCTCTATACATTGACGCACTATATATGGCACCTTGGATCGCTCACGCCTGGTACAGACAGAGATGTGCTCATTAGACCACCTGTAATAAGCAATGTTCCCTGGCTGTGCAAGAGACAAGCTCTGCTTTTATGACAGTGGCTTTGGTGCTAATTGGTGAAAGTCAAGCTGAACTGACATATGGGGAATAATAAGTTCTCTACAGATTTAACTAGAGAATGAGGAGATCAACTTACTTTGTCACTACGCTGATTTTAACTCCAAAAACCCCCGTCTGCTTCTTAGAGGGCGTCCTTTTCAAGCTCATATCACGGCTGCTGAACTTCATAGAAAACTCTACTTTAATCTGCAAGTAAAAGATATCAGCTGAAAATGTGACAAAATGTGACATATTTAACAATGTTTTTCCTATAAAGTATCTATATAACCACATTTATTTATGTCAGTTTATTAGGAGATAAATAGTGGATTAGAATTTCAAGAACTGGTGCTGACCTATAACCTCTCTGAACCTACACAACTATTTAATGACCCACACAAAACTTTCCGCCACCTTAACCCATCCAAACAAAGGTGCTTACGTGGACAGTCTGTGCATTATGTGCCTTTAGATACTTCAAGTGCAAGATCTCCCTTGAGTTAACTCAAGACTCTGGTCTTCTACACTAGGAAACATCTGGTGTTCCTGCTCACCTTTGTGTGTTCTAGCTTCTCCTGTTACATTCTCCATAGCATAAAATGCATTAATCCAAAGGAGAGGGGGGGTCCCTCTAGTTGGACACACCCAGGAACTCAAGTGCAAAGATCAGAATCCTCAAGAGACAACAGAAATTGTCAGGTTTCCAGCTTACACCAAGAACAAAAATATACATTTTGGATGGACAGACACTTAAGAAGCATTTAAGGTCCCTCTGCAGGTTGTTTTTTTTAAATTAAAAGGAGAAGTCTAGTCAAAGCTGTTTTGGCTATACTTCTCCTGGGGATGACAGAAATGCACTTTGTTCTGTACTCTGGAGACCCGTTTTCAGGTGACAGAAGGCTAAAGCACATTGTTGGCTGATGTCACTCAGCCGGTCCAGACTCTGAAAAGATCCTGACCATATATGGTTGGGTCCCAGCCAAATGCCTGGACCAGCTGCAGGCTCAGCCTCTCAGTGAGCTGCTGAGAACCTGGGCCAGTCGCTCCTGCCACCTCCACAGCCTGGCGCTCCAGTGAGAGCTGGAGGGGTAGAGCAGAAAGCTGGTGACTGACAATCATCAAAGGAACGGTGAGAACTGTTTGATCAGAGGTCTTTGATCACTCAGGTCTTAGAGCTGGCGGGGGACAGATGCAGAACCAGATTGATTGCTGCATCCACATAAGTGAGTGTAAATGTTAATTTTTTTCCAAACCCATACTTCTCTTTTAAAGCCCAGTGTGTGCGATAACTTTGTGTGTGTAAGGTATGGAAGCTCACTGCCATGTCCCAGTTGAGGTGATCACACCAGATCTGATGGATATCCCCCATTAAGACAACAATAAGGATCTATTCACACTGCTGTGTTGTGTTACCATGTCTTGCTGTGCTGCAGTGTCATTCATTGTGAATGGTACTTTAATGCACCTTTAAATTTCACGTATGCTGCAGCACACTGTAGCGTGGTACAAGGCATGGTTTCCTGTGTTGTGCTGCAGAAAAATGCAGCTTGCCCCATTTGTGGTGTGTTGCAGCCCATTCCTTTTGAATAGACTGTTGAACACATGTAAATGCGTGCCTATTGCAGTGCACAGTTTTGTGGTGTCAATGATTCCCAAATACATATTACAGGTTCTAACCCTTCCCCTCTGTACCAAAAAAGAGGAGCTTTTATTGCCCTCTGTGGACAAGATTCTGCTCACGACTTGTCCCAGTGAAGGGAAACCTTCCTAATCAATATGCAGACAACGAGAACAACCTGAAGATATAGCCTCTTGGCGCGAGTTTCTGCCCACAGTTTACCAGCAGTAACTATACTGTACACCTACAGCTTGTGTGCCTTAGGTCACTCACCCCATTCATCTCTATGACATCCACATGCCAGTTCTTGCTCTGCACTGCTTGGGGATCCAGCTGCAAAGAAAAGCAGATAACATGTCAACAGTGACATTAAACGGAACACCAGCTCAATGTAATTATCACTGGCAGGGTCCCATCCTGGAACACAAGACACAAACATTCTAAGAGCAATGATCATATGCAGAACAGCTGTGCAGTGCAGGTGCTAAACAATCAGCAGTTTACAATGCCTTGCAGCAGAACATCTTCCTGTCCTTTCACAATGGCCTGCGACTAAAGGAAAGCAACTTCAGGCAGCAGGTGCTACAGCACAGCATTTCTATTATTGGCTTGTACATTTACTAACAGGCAGGGAAGACAATGATGGCTCACAAACCACAAACTTTTATTAAAGGTAGACCAAACAGGCCTGTACTACCCGCAGATCTATTTTTACACCTGTCAGAAAGACCGCAAGCCTTTCCCAAGGACAGAAGAGCAAATCTATTTCTATCCAATTAGGCATGGGATAAACAAGCCAGAATCTGAAAGTTCAAGTTTTCCATTTCAATCGGGTCTACCACACATTCGCTCTTCTATTTATAACCCCTGGGAAAGACTGTCAGCCATTTCCTGTTTGACTTATTTTGCCCAAAGGGCCAAAAAATGAAAAGGAAACCCACAGCATACATGATGCAGCTTTCAGTGTCTAAATATCATACTGCATGTGTATATCAGTCAGTAGGCAATTTTCATAAGGGTGCTTTTACATAACGAGGTACACAGCAGCAGCAGTATATTGTCAATGATATCTAGACTTTCACAAAAATGGTAAAAGTGCCTACCTTTTATAATATTACTCTCCAAAACATTTGTGAATTAATGTTAATTTGTTACAGTTGAAGCTGCCCCTATAAGTGTGTAAATATCCTTAGAAAAATGAAAATATACCAACACATTATTGCACTGATGAGATAAATCCAGTATAAATGTACAGAGTCAAGAAAAATATTTAATAAAAAAAAAAAATTTGTGCAAAAAAGTCAAAAACAAAGTCCACCATTAAACAGTTTCCACACTTATGGTAATTACAATTAGCACAGTTTAAACTGGACCAATGGACTGGAAGAGACTGGAATCTGATTTCTACATTGGTGTGAAGGTCTAATCTAAATTACAGCTGGTTACATAGCGGAGCTGCTAGTACTTCCCTTCATAAATGATGGAGTAGAGATCCTTTGAGCTGACTTTTCTCAGCAGCTAAGGAAATTCTATGTAGCCTTTCTTCAGTCCAAAATGGCTGATTGTAGAGCAGAAAATTGCACACTGCTGCACAGAGAATATAACTATATAGCACACCCCATACACAGGTTTAGGGATGTCATCCTTAAACAGCATTTTGTATATCTCAACTAAGAATCTAGATAGATTGCATTGTGTACAAATCTGATTTTAATCAGGATTATGATCTTCATTTTTCAGAATCAGTATCACCACCACGTTAAGGGAGGGCCAAGTGTCTTGTGCCCTTTAATTAAACTAAAGCAAAAGAAAAACAAAACTGGGGCATTTATCCAATTCCTTAATTTAAAATAATCACTTTATTGGCATATTAGTAATTAAAGCATCATTAAAAACAAATTAGAAGTTTATAGGGGGCAGCTATAATTTAACAATCTCCATATATTGAGATTAAATATTAAGAAAACATATTACATAAACTGGATTAGAATCCATAAGCAACTTTCAAGAAGAAGAACAGGAGGAGACTTCTACCTCTCAACATGCTTTGCAGATGCCTTTGCTTCACCCGAAGAGGGAACAAAGAAGGAGACTGTATATATATATATATATATATATATATATATATATATATATATACACACATACATATACATATACATACATACATATACATACATACATACATACACATACACACATATATATTCTCTAAAAACAATATAAACATGGCAGCCTCTAGTATTAACAAATCACATATTCATCCGTGTAATCGGCAAATGATTTTAAAGTACTAACCAATTCTGCACCAACAAAGCATCAACCACCACTAGATCAGGTATACAGGCCCGCCTGCTAAAAAAGACCAGACCAAGGAACCTCAAGCTTATAACAAAGGTCCCTTGGTCTGGTCTGTGTACTCATATATATGTGCTCTCCCTAACATCTACTCTTGTCTCTTCAACCCCTCCATACACGTCCCCAGGGTGAGTGGAAGCCTCCATGGAATGCGTTCAGACATTGAAGTCTCCTTTTCTTGATACTGGAAGTTACTTATGGCCTGTAATCCAGTTTATGTAATATGTCGGCTTAATATTAATATAATATACATAATATTAAAAGTCAGCAGCTACGGTATTTGTAGCTGCTGACTTAATTTTTGGGAGGGGGGGGGGGCAGAACTATTTAAATAATAGTAATGTTATGTTTCCCCTTTCCCTTCTTTTTTCAAGACTGTACATAAGTTCCTGCAGTCTCTCCTGATCTTTAACCAATTTGTTTGCCGGTCTCTAACTAAAAGGTGCAACTAAAGACCTACCTATAGGAATCAGAAACTCATTTCTCCTGTGAGTGATCCCTTTAGTGATAACTAAATATCTACATAGAGGAATCAGAAACGTCTCCCTCCTGCTGGGGACCACAGAATACTATTAACTTTCCCCACTGCCATGCACTTTGCTCATTTTGCAATCATCTAAAATCATCCAAGTTTGTAATTCTGATCAACACCCTACAGCCAGTATTGTACTCTATCAAATGATTATTTTTCCCTAGTGCATTTTTTGAATTGGGAAACATTGAACTGTAATTTCCACTGTTTTGACCATCTTTCAGCAAATGCCAAATCATGTTTCATGTTACAAACGCCTTCAAAATATCAACCCTATGATGACACCTTTGTGTCATCAGCAAACTAAGGAATACCTTACCCACCAAGTCTTCAGGTCTAGCATTTACAAGATTAAATAGAACATGACCTAGCATTGTGGTACACCACTAATGACTGTTTTCTGTTCCAAATTAACCCCATTTACACCACACTTGGATACAGTTTCTATCCTTTAGCCAACTGCATATCCACTAAACCACCCATGGGATAAAGTGGTTGTGATCCTCTGATATGAAATATGAACAAAGCCTATCCCTCTATAGCGTGTGCCTGTCTCAATCCAGAGTACCAAATGTCATTTCTGCCCACTGCTTCATTCTTCTGCTATCTGCAAATGGTGACAGGGAGGGAACTCCAGCAGACTGATAGCCTCAGCTCTGGTCCTGTGTACTGTGTGAAGAGAGATGTGTCTCTTCCTTCCAATCAACTCTGAGCTCTCCTCACTGATATAACTTCATCTCCCGCCTCCTGCTTTTCAGAGCTGAGAGATCCTGTGTAAATTCTGCACTTTGAATGGATGTAGGGGACAGACGGCTTTAGATAAACAGGTACAACTCATGTAGGAAGATCGGTTTCATCTCTGTGTATCACCTGAGGCCAGGCACTTCACTGGGTATATGTAAGGGTTACAACCACTTTAAAGTATAAAGGCAAAACAGTTTTTTAGTTTTGAATAGAGTGGAGATGGATTAGAACACCTATTAGGTTTTTATTGCTGCCTGTGCCCACATTAAGGATATTCACCATCTCTAATTGCCCTATTTACCATTATCATTGAAAGTGAAGAAAACCTGAAATTATGGGTTATCCCCAGAGAAGTAATAGAGGGGAAACTTTACAATGGGGGACACTAGTTCTGGTGACCTAGGTGCCCCAAGGGATTCCCTTAATTGGCAGAGGTTTCCTCTCACTTCCGGTTTGTTTATGGGGCAGAAAGTGAAGGCAAACCTCTTAAGCCTATAGTTCTTCTTTAAGCCTAAGGCTGGCCATACACTGAAGGAATTTCAGAAGGTTCCTGACGAATTGGCCAAAATTCACTTTGGGAGTGGTTCTGTTGGCACCCTATTGCTTAGCATCCTAAGACTGAAAATAGAGGAGCCAAGTGACAGACTGAACAAAAGCTGCATCTGATTGGATGGGTATTCTGATAGCTGCCAGAATACAACAGCCGACATTGCAGAATCATCCATCCATGCTGTATAGCCTGCAGACTGATCAAAAAACATCTATGAGTGTATGGCAAGATTTATCTCGTACAACTTTTTAATGAGAACATTATGTGGAACTGTTTCAAATGCGTTGCTGATATCAAGATAAGTTATGTCTACAGCACTCTTCTGATCCAAAATATTTGTGATGTAGTAAAGAAGAAAATCCAATCAGATAGTCTGGCATGATCTGCCCTCAGGAAAGTCCTGCTGCTTCCCATGTTGTTCAGCTGTAAAGTGGACAATCATTAGAAGACTTGTAAACAAGAGATAATTGGCTATTGCAAAGAAAATACATGACAGGAGAACCTTTAAAGGGCACGGGGTTACATCAGACACTTCAATGTCCAGATGTTCAACACCCTCCAAACATTTGTTTAAATTCAAAATGCAGACAACACTGAAATAAAACGGTTATGTATTTCTGTGAACCAATAGTATGTTCGATCCCACCTGTTCTGACTGGACAGTCTGGTTTTGGCTGTTAGTTTCTTGGTATCTGTGGTCATAAAAGACCTGGACACAGATCTGTCACAAACATGACAGGTGTCTAAGGTCTGGAGCCTCTTTCTGAAATGTATTCCGTCTTGGGTGGCCAAACCTGTTATGGTGGTACATCAAGGCCTGTCAGCCAGTAATGACAGCTTCACCACCTCATACATCATTCATTATGCTCCATACCATGCAATGGTTTTTACTATACCAACCCCTGTATTAGGTGTAGGTGTTGGGCAAAGGTTTACAGGTGAACCACATATATATACAAACACAATGAAAAGAAGCACTGTAAGGGAAGAAAAGAGGGCAACGAATGTCTAAGACCCAGTATAGACGATGAGAATATCAGACAAATGATCATCCATTTTTTTTTTTTTGCATGCTAGTCTCATAACAAAAGTGAGGAGGCTGCTAAACTTACGAAATTCTTGTACAATGGAATAAAGACTTGAAAGTGA